AGAGAGAGAGAGAGAGAGAGAGAGAGAGAGAGAGAGAGAGAGAGAGAGAGAATCCGTTAGCCAACCTGCTAGCTGTGCCACCCACTGGGAAGAATGGTCTCTCAGCACTGGGGGCCTGGGCGTTTGAAGATTATCTCCCTCTCTTCTGCACCAAAGTCAGCAATGAGAAAGTTGTGTTGAGAGCAGACATATCAGGTGTGAAGCACTACATGAAGATGCTCAAAATGCTTTGGGTATTCCAGCACAGAAACCAGTAACAGACGGTGTCACTAAAGGCCAATGATGGTAGATATTGCCAGAGGATCTCCTGTGTCTGGGATCCCTGAGATACCCAACAGAGAGTGAGTTGTGTGGAGAGTCCCCTAAGGGAAGGGGAAGGACACTTTACAGTTTTGCATCACCTCACCACCCTTTTGGAATGAGTGCTACTTTCTAGCCCAAGCCCAGAGCACAGAGTTATAAGAGCCACAGAGATTTCTGAGGTGTGTATTTACTGTCAGGAGACACAGAATGAGGGTAGAGTCTGTTGAAAAAATGTACAGGCAAGTGCTGCTGGCTGCTTTAGGGGCAGAGGCCGGGGAGGCTACTGATCTAGGGTGGCAGGTGCTGTCAGGCAAGAAGTGTGTGTCTCATGGACCATACAAGTCTCATGGATTTTCCTGGGCCCTGACCTAAACATCGGTGCTGAGGAAAGAACACCTGACATGGAGGAGCAGGTCCCCAGGAACCCAGGACCTCACAACAGCACTAGCTGTAGTCACCTGAACAATGCAGAGGTGCACTGGACTCGGATCCCCGACCATGGCGCCCTCCTGTGACTTCCTGCCCTCTTTAACTCTATGGAAATCTAAAATTGCTTCTTGCAAATGGGAAAGGCAGTGAGGAAGTCGGAAGATCAAGCTCCCCACAGCACTTAACATGGCTGGTGGGGGACTCACACCTGTATCTTCGAATGGTTACCTGGGAACCCCTAAAGGATAGAGGTCAGAGGACACAGGCCGAGAGTCAGTCCATGCCCAGCCTCACCAGGTCACCATGAAGAATGAGATCTACAACAACGCAATAACATGTGGAGTTTCATTCATTATCCTGGGACAGTATACTGGTGAAAGGATTGCCTTGGTTGTGATGCTAGAAAGTCCATGGTATAGTCTAGTGTCTTAGTCTGAGCAGTGAAGCTACCGATCTGTGGCCCCTTCCCCGGGGACAGGGAAGAGTGCATGCCTCTCAATGACAGCAAGGGCAACGCAAAGCGGTATTCGGTTCACATGATTAGTTGTGTTGATGCTTCATCCTCTCCTGACAACTGGTCCAGGTCCAGTCAGATGAGAACTGGAGCGTCACTGTCGTCCTTATCACCTAGTTACGGCCTACGGTTCAATCAGCAGGAGGCACACAGTAGTAAGCTACTGTCAAAAGTCCTTAGGATTCTTGTCCGAACTGAACACACTGGCCAGGAGCTGGACGGTGCAGTCACAATACACTCGTCTGTAGACAGGGTCTCCTTCAATACAGCGGCCTGGTAAGGCTGCATCTATCATCTCTCTGGGCTTACGCTTGACCTTTGACCTCTAGGGGCTCCAAGGTAACCATTTCAAAGTACAGATGCCATCATCCTATGACTCTTTGACCTGAAACAGTTTCCTTTCATTTCTTTATCAGGGCAAAGTTCAGACTGCTCAGCGGCCCATGCAGCTCACAACAGTCTCCTCTGTGTGCCGCTGCGGCCTGACCGTTCTGTGCCGCCACGTGTCCAGATATGGACTTAACTGTGCCCCATCCCCACCCTAGAGTTCACATGTTGCGGTCCCAGCCTCCAGTGTGATGGCCTTCATGGAATCAAGTTAACAAGGTCAGAAGGGCAGGTCCCTGACCCAGTAGGTCTTTAAGAGAAGACACGCCAGAGCACTTCCTCTTGTGTTTTCTCTGCCACAGAAGGAAGAAGGAAGGCCATTTGTGAAGCAGGAATAGAGTCCTCTTCTGAGACCAGTAGGTCATGAAATAGACGTCTGTTGACCTAAGCCAGCTGCCACATCTGTGACCCATCCAGTCTCCTGTCTAGCAAGGACCCCGGGCCATTTGACCTAGAAGGGAGTGGTAACTGAATTCTGGCGTCAGCTATGGCAGTACCATGCAGGAGAGCCTTGCTTATTGGTCTCTGACGAGGAGTTTGCCCTCTTCCTACCTGCTTGTGTGCACCTGTGTGCAGGCACCTGGGTCCACGCTGGGTGTCTTCCTCTATTGATCTACACTTTGTTTTTTGAGACAGATCTGTCACTGAATTCGGAGCTTCCCAACTCAGCTAGAGTGGCAGGCCAGGGGGCCCTCGGGTACTCCTTCGTCTACACACCAAGTGCTGGCATCCCAGGCACACACTGCTATGTCTGGCTTTTATATGGAGGCTGGGGAGTCAGCCTTGGGTCCTCATGCTTGAACTGCAAGCAGCTTACTCAGAGCCACATTTCTAACCCAGAGCCACATTTCTAACCCAGAGCCACATTTCTAACCCAGAGCCACATTTCTAACCCAGAGCCACATTTCTAATGAGGAAATGTGACATCTGAAATGCCCCAGAACCCAAACTTTAGAGCAGGATACTGCCACTGTTTCAAATTTTGAAACGTTTTGAGTTAGGGGTGCGAAAACTGTAGTTAATTACTGTAGGAGACTAATCCAGCCCTCACACCTGAATGCTGATGGAGGAACATGGATTGGTAAGGTCAGCAGACAGCGGACAGGGTACCTGGAACTGTGGAGTAAGCGAAGAGAAAGTCAGCTTCCACCGGGATCTTGTATCGGGGATTAGCATCGGTGTCGGTGTCGTTGATAGGCCCGGAGTCGGCCTGGATCCCGTCATCCAGCTCCGTCCCTCGGCAAGCCTAAAGCATATCAAAGTAGAGATCACACATGGGCTGGAACCAGAACTGCTCATGCTGTTCCCTGCTGTGCCCCAGGAGCTCGGTGGCCAGCTGATGAAGAGATAAGCACCCGCTTTGAGTCAAATTACAAAGCAAAGCACGGCGATGCCGTCCAGAAAGGAAGAAAGTCCCTGTGCCAACCATTTCCAGGCAGACAGCCCCAGCCCCGTCTGCATACCCCCAGAAACACACCACCCCACAGAAACACACCACCCACCCAAACACACCACCCCCAGAAACACACCACCCCCAGAAATACACCACCCCCAGAAATACACCACCCCCAGAAACACACCACCCCCAGAAACACACCACCCCCAGAAACACACCACCCACAGAAACACACCACCC